TACTAGATTTCCCAGTTAGTACATATTCGTTTGATAATAATAATCCTTGCATTTGATATGGCGCCTTATCACGTCTTCGAGTCATCTCAAAGCGCTTCACAGAATATACTGTAAAGTGAATTGACTATATTTTGTGAGCGAAACGTGACAGCCATTGCTCACACAGTGGCCCACAAACAGTCGTGGATTGAGTGAGCAAATTATTTTTATTATATTTTTTTGAAGGACTTATTTATTACCCCCGGAAAAGCAATCTGTCAATCGACTAACAACCGGGTTGCTACTTACTGCTAGGTAAAAAGAGGCATGTACGTGGAGTAAGGAAATTTGCCTGAGTTTTGCCCTGACCAGGAATCGAACCCAGGTCCTTTCGCTTGCGAGGAGAGAGGTCTCACCATTAAGCTACAGGACTCCACGAATTTAACAGGTGAAATGAAGCTGGATGATAATGGAATGACAATCTCTGTCTGAAAGCTCAGGAACGCGCGTACCCGTCCCCCCCAGCACCCCCCCCCCACCCCACACACACACACACACACACACACACACACACCCCCCCCACACACACACACACACACACACCCCACACACACACACACACACACACACCCCACACACACACACACACACACAGGTTCTCTGTAACCAAAGAATACTTGATTGAGTGTTCACTACATAACCTGTGTTCATTCACAAATTTGCTCTCACACACCAGCATCATTCGAGTTTGTTGCTGCTCACCATCCCAGGTCTCATGGACATTCAGTCATGGCTTCCACCAGCAGTAGTGGCTTGCAACATATTGATGTACATTCAGTTTACAACTTATAATCATAATCCTTGCATTTGATATAGCGCTTTTCACATCTTCAAGACATCTCAAAGCGCTTCACAGAATATTCTGTGAATTGACTGTATATTTGTGGGCAAAATGCGGCAGCCAATTGCGCAGAGCAATATCCACAAACAGTCGTGGATTGAGTGACCAAATAGAAATATGTGGCATCCTTCCCATTCAAATCGGTGTGGCACCACTAACACATCTCTGGTGAAAAACACAAATTGTATCCCTACTGCACTCTGTACTACCAGCTGTAAGGTTTATCGTTACATCATTTAACAATTCATTTAGACTTACACTGTGTGATTAAGACATTACAAGAGCCTATTGGATAAAATTTTACCATAAAGCCTAAAAGTACCTTTCCCATTAAAGCCAGCGAAACACGAACACGGAACCTGCTCAAAATTCCTCATGGATAAAAACTGATTAATGTGCGTATTTGAGAATTGGAATGCTACTCTCTCGGTGCCAATCCCCCTTTAATTCATCCTCGAACTGAAACAGAATTCATTTACAGCACACTGACATGGTGAAATTACTCTACACTGGCAGCATCACAGGTCTAGAAAGAGGTTTTAGTATTGTATATCAACAACAACAACTTGCACTTACATAGCACCCTCCACCAGGGTAGTGCCTCAGAGCGCTTAACAATGGCGGAGTCTGAGTCCGAGCTGGGGGGTACGGGGACGAGGTGGCCATAAGCACGGTCGAAGAGGGAGGTTTTCAGGCGGGACTTGAAAAACGGGGATAAAGGTGGCAAGGCGGAGGGACTGAAGGAGTGTTCCAGATTTTTGGGGCACAGTGGCTGAAAGCACGACCTCCGATGGTGGGGCAGAAGGTGCGAGGGATGAGCAGGAGGTCGGTGCCAATCGAGCGGAGGCGCCAGGTGGTGGATTGGGGAGTGAGGAGGTTGGAGATGTAGGGAGGTGCCAGAGAGTGAAGGGATTTAAACACAATATCAACACTAAAGTACCTGTGATTCTTAAATGATGATACGTAATCAAAAGAGGTTCGTGTATAATCATTAGCCACTCAATGAGGTCCATACAGGCTTCTCATTTAAATCCTTGGCTTATTTGCTGTCAGGCACAATTCCATGTGTGAAATGTGAAAGTTTTCTGAATTCAGGACAATCATGTGACTGCAACTTCTACATGGGACACAACTTTACAAAACATTAGCCCAAGTTCTACAGCTACAGAGCACCAGCAATTCGGTCATGGACCAGCAAGCCAAGAAACAGCACTTCCAGAGTGGGGCAAAGTACCCCTTAACACAGTGATGAAGTACTGCAGCCTGGCTTAAGATCCAGCAGGGCCAATACTACCGTCACTTCATTTCTGACAGAAAATCCAAAGAGATGATCTGTGCCCTGGTTCATGGCACCATTTAAGATGTGTACCAGAGAGCAACCCTTTCATTTGAAATACCACCTATAACATCAAAGCATCTCCAAAGACTTCAGAGTGGTTGGGTGTATAAATAGGCGTACTTTTAGGCAGATTCTGCTTCTGTCTTCACCTGCTGTGGATTTGGGATTAAATGGCATTTCCTGAAGATTTAAACTTTTGAAATTTTGTTTTCAGTCGAACAGGCTAACAACCAGGTCAGTGATACTGACATTTCACACGGCTGTCAAAGTTCCCGTTGCTGAGATTTATAACTTTAAAAGTTCTTACAACTGTATGCCGTAATTCCTTTCTTTCCCTCTCTCTCTCCTCTCCACACCCGATGTATAAACTAACTTTGTAGCAGAGCTTCGTCTGGAATTTAAATTTGGGTCAAAATCTGAAGTTTCTCAGGAACAGATTTCTTCTCAATTCATAGTCATTTTAACAAAACAGAAAATAAAACACAAAATCAAAGCAGTTTTACTGTTCCCTAAGGCATTTCACTGCAATCCAAACACCATTAGATACACAAATCCCACTCGTCTCCAAGACAATCCTCTGATTTCTCCTGGGAAAGGAGGTGCACCATTCTCCCCTTGGAAACATCTGTCCAATAGCGCCTTTAGGCTTTGTTGGAATCAACCTGTCTGGGACCAGTACCCCATTTCCCTGTAGAGAATTCATAAGGGAATCAGAATCAAACAGGCTATGATAGGTTGATGATTTGGCATTCACTTTGCTATAACAAAATGCTAATAATTATTAAATGGTGAGCCACAACAATTAAAAAGGGACAAGCAACATAGATGATGCGTGTTATTAGGGTTTGTTATTGCACTGTTGAAAAAAAAACAGTTCTAACTTCTTCCAGACTGAATGAACCTCAAATCAGTTGCATTTGCTCAGTTTTGCCAGTTAACAAGAGTTTCAGAACAATTCACTTACTTAGAGGATCAAAACAATGTTAGTCAGAATCAAGCCTGCAATAACTGACAAGCCCGCAATAACCAGACCATTTCATGAGCGCTTGGCTTGGTCTGCCTAGTTCTTGAATACTGTAATGTACCTATTTTGATGTAAAAAGATACAATCGCAAAACTGCATATTCCAAGTAAAAAAGCTGTAAGAAGTCCAGAGATATATAATAATTATTTTTAATTAAGCAGCCAAAATTTACAGTTACATATATTGGGGTTAAAAAGCTCTGGAACAGTAACTGCTCGAAAAAGCAAATTTTCCTGCAGAGAATTTCTTGTATGTTGCTGACTTAAGATCTCTTATGAATTGAAGTCAACATGTTTTCCAGTGGTTACCCTACTCAGAGCTTTTTTAACCTCAGGATTTAGGACATATTTGAATCCACCCAGTTCCCACCTCAATCAACAACTACTACTACTACTTACATTTATAAAGTGCCTTTCACATCGGGAGAAAGTCCCAAGGTGCTTAACAGTCAGGGAATTGGACGCTAGTAGGGGGTTGGGATCGGGGGGAGGGTAGGAAAGGAAGGGAGGGTAGGAGGGTGGCCGAATGCCAGAGGAGGTTGAAGAGGAGGTTCTTGAGACGTGTTTTGAAAGAGGAAAGGGAGGCAGCTGGATGAAGGGACCGTGAGATGGGAGTTCCAAAGGGTGGGGGTAGAGAAGCTGAAGGCCTGATTTCCAATGGTGGGGCAGGGGATGTGGAGAAGGCTGAGCGGACAGGTTGATATGGGGTTAGCAGATTACAGAGGTAGGAAGGAGCAAGACCATGGAGCGAGGCTGTGGGATGGTCAAGGGGGATAGGAGGTAAGGAGGACGGAGGGAGGGGAGGATAGAGCAAGAGTGGTACAGGGTAGAGAACAGGGATGTGGGCATTTGGGGGGAAAGCAGCTCAGGTCGGGGGTAGCAGCCAAAACGCGCAGAGCGAGACGGGAGGCAGAGGGATCAGCCAGCAGGCATGGAGACAGACAGCTGCTACACACTGAAACCTGAATTATCTGGACCAGAAAGGAGATGGGAAAAGTCCTCCTTTTTGCGGGGAATACATTTTCTGAAGGAATTTGTGCAGCCAACAGAGAGTACATCCAGAAAATATTTACTTAAAAATAATAATTGTTCTTTATGAAATATATGCAGATGTGATACACTTGACAGACATGAAACAACTTTGAAAATCAGTCTACCAGTAAAACATACCCTTTCAACCATCACTGTGAACAGTTATTTGACAATCGAACTGGCCAACAGTAAATGAAAATACAGTCAAACCTGTGAATTCAAACACCTCTATTCAGCAACTACCTGCTGTCAATAACTACTCTGGAACAGTCCCGATCGATCTTCCATAATAAATCACCTCTATTTAGCAATCATCTGTCTAATGCAACCAATTGCCACTCTATTTTAGTCCTGTCAGTGTACAGAGGCTAGTTTTGAGTGAACTTAAATTGAATTACCAATTTCCGTGGGCCCATAAGTAGACTTCTGCTAGACTCAAGCGCATTTGCTAACGCCGCAGTGAGCTGCCCACGTGATGCCCACAGCTTCCCACCTCACTGGTGAACGTATTAAGTTTATTGAGTCTACACTGGGTCCGCAGATTTTTTATAAAAATTCGGGTCCGGTCAACGAACACTTACTCAGGGGTTACCCTCACATAAAGGCCACTTTGGCTTAATCCCCTGAGTGGTTGATAAAAACAGGTGAAACTGTAGTTTTCGCTGTTTTTAAACAAGATGGTCCCCTTGCACGGCTTCACAAAAATAACTAGTTTAGACTACTCACTCTTTTTCTACATTCTCAGAAGAGTCTTCACCATCGCCCTCTTTATAATTCCATTTATTTTTAAAACCGCCATCACTCTGGGTTGTCGATCTATCCAAAGCTGCAAAGTGAAAGCAAGAGAGAGTTCAGACAAAGGTAAACAAAGTCTTCCATCTTGTTTAATGTGCAAAACACAAATATCAACTTGATATTTACCAGCAGATTCTAGTAACACAAACTTCAGATGTGCTCCAGAGGAGAAGGCTGCAGCCCACCTCTGTATTCTTATCTAATCATGAATTAGAAAATTACAGATGAGAAATACACAGCCTCCAAGAGAGGTAAACACAAAGGGAACCTGTTCATTTGCTAGGCCACATGCCCCCTAGACGAGAAAGACAGCTACAACAAGGATCAGGGACTGCTCTGGTTACTCCCTTCTGATTACATTGTAGAACTACGTTCCTCCCAACAGATCAGAACAGCATAGAATTACCCAAACCATCCAGCCAGCAAAACAGTCATCTTTTGCACTTATTTACTTACATTACCTTTGTTCAATATACCCTGGAAAATTCTGTTTTGAAAAACACAAACTTGCAAGTGTAGTTTTAAACATAATCTCCAGTCCTTATTTGCAGACATTTTGCCTTCACCTTTCGCTTGGCCAACAGGAAGCCCAGCAGAGAAAAGTGGTCATCCATGAATGAGCATTGGCTTTGTTTCAGGGATAGATAGGCCTTAACATCCTCATGCAGCTTGTACCCACACATGAATTCACTGGATGCACACACAGTCTCCTTGCTACACACCACACAAGTTATGTAACGCCGGAGGCCACACAAGTCTCACAAGAGGATTTAGAACATCAGGATTCAGGTTCATGGCTTGGGTTCTCCGCAGCCCCGGGAGGTGCTAAGAACAGGCCTTTCCCAAGAAGACAGGATGAAAATCGGAAGGCGTCGCCTTGCTTATGGTCTGGTCACAGGCAGTTACGAAGTCGCAGGACAAAGGAGCAGGTCACTGGCCAGTCTGTTAGCAGTTTTCTAATTCTAATCTGGAGGTGCAGAGATATTGAACAACTTCTCACGTTATAAATTTATACAATACTTATACATCATCTTCATTTTGAGTTTCAGCTTCTGTTACGTACATAGCAGATTCTTTAAGAAAAATTAAATACTTAAAAAAGGACACAAAACAAATTACGGGAGGGAGCAAATCAAATACAGTCAGATCCAATTATAGCGCAGTGGTTTAGGTCCATATAAAACCAGCCCCGACATTAAAAATAGAGCGGCTGCTGGACAGCACATCAGATCATCAGGTCACATCTGAGCCATGCTCAGGAACCTGGTAACCATCTCACAAGTGTTTCAAACATTTGATGGGATATCGGGAGGCATTACGAAGCACAACTGCACCACTTTTCTGGTATACAGTACACGATATACAGACAAAAGCATTGTATAACAGGGTCAGACATGATAACTACTAGAGTTAGGTGCTCAACTTGCTCTGCACTTCCTCTATCACTAAACCATTCGTTTCTGCATTGAACAATTCAGGGAAGCAACGCTGCCTGTGCTGTCTGGTGGCAAGAGCCCGTGCCATGACAGCTGGTAGCACAGTTTCTCTGGATCAGAGGTCATGGCTCAAAAACTCATAATCTAGGATGACACTCCAACTACTTACATTTATTTTCAGCCCTTCACTTATAATAATAATTCTTACATTTGGTATAATGCCTTCCATATTAGCAGGATATCCCAAAGCGCTTCACAGGATGTATTGTAAAGTGGAGTGACTGTGTGCTTTAAGGGCAAATATAGAATCCAACTTGCACACAGTAATGTCTTACGAACATGACTAATTTTATGGGGGGGAAGGGAGGGCGGGGTTTGTTGGCCAGGAACAGGCAGACAGGGCCTCGGGTTAACATCTCATCCAAAGGACGGCATCACTGGCAATGCACTCCACCCCCCACCAGCACTATATTGAAGTGTCATTTTAAGACTACATGAGTTCCAAGTCCCAATGTGGGGCTTGAACCCACAGCCAATGATAAAATCTTGGGTGTGCTTTACAATGCCGGAGTGCCTGAGGATTGGGGGGAGTAGGGGGGTGACCATAGGAGGGCACTGTGTGAGCACTGCATTTTCATAGGCTTAAACCTCTGGATTAGATTTTAAACCAAGGACGTGTCTGCCCGGTGGGAGTTTCGCGCAGCACGATTCCAAAGGTTTGTCACGCCATCCTGGCTGACAATCCTACAGATCAATTAGCCATGGCTGTGCTTAGATCAGCTGTCATTTTGCCTACAACACAAGTCTTATGTTACCACACTACAGCAATTACTGTAAAGCGCTTTGAGATATTTCAATGGGATTTTAAAAATGCACACTCTTTCCTTTTTAGCAGATGGGAAGAAGCTTTTCAAACACAAACCTCCAAATTATGAAAACAAAAAATGTAAGAAGGTCTTCATACTTGAGGAAGGTTTGACGGGGGAGAAAGTTGCAATAACCTTCCAAATATTATTATTCTTATAAATATGTGAACACAGAGGGACTTGACTGCGCATTACGTTTTATACAGATTCACATTGGGCCCTACTATAGATCCTACTATACTTTTTCCTCTGCACCAGTCTGTCACTGCAGGTTTCTGCTGTAGAATCAAGATGTCTGTTCAGTATTTCATAGTATAGCCGACCTCTTATTGGATTCAATACAGGTACAAACCAGGCTACCTTACACATACTTAACATAAAAATTACTCAACCATGTATTTAAAACACGTCTGCATGACCAATGAGAGTGTAAGAAATATCTGCATAAAAAAGGGTGTATTTATAAAAAAAACACAAGGCACTGCAAGAAACTATTCAAAATAACAGTGTGGGAGTCCTGCAGCTCAGTGGTTAGAGTACTCGCCTTTTAAGCGAGACACCTGGGTTCAACTCCAGGCAGAGGGCGAAACCTTGGGCAAGTTTTCTTACTCCACACAGAGCCTAATAATAATCCCTCCAAAATACAAAACAATAATAAATTGGTAATTTTCAGTCATGACTGTTTGTGGGACATTGCTGTGCACAATTGGCTGCCGCGTTTCGCCCACAAATATACAGTCAATTCACTCTACAGTCTATTCTGTGAAGTGCTTTGAGACGTCGAGAAGACATGAAAAGCACTATATCAAATGCAAGGATTATTATTATTATAACAGAGAAAGATCAGAATCAAATTAGAGGGGTTTGTGGTTCAGCCAGCAAATGCAGCTTCAGTTTTGCAGGCTATAGCTCTCACCTCCGGGTCAACAGGCCATGGGTTTGGAGAACACGAGGATTCGAGTGCATAGTCCAGGTTGACATATTGGTGCAGTACTAAACAGTCGGTGCTGTCCTTTGGATGAAACGTTAAACCAAGATCCTGTCTGCCTGATCAGGTGGCCATTAACGGTGCCATGATATTAATTGAATGGAGAAAGGAGTGTCTCCCAGTGCCCTGGCCAACAATCCGCCAGATAAAATTCATGAGTAGGACATTGCTGTGTGCAAATTGGCTGCATTTGCCTGCAAAATACAGAAAATCCTGTGAATCATATGACGCACTTTTGAGAGCGATAAGGGGCTACAACAAATGCAAGGAGTATTGTTATGCAGAATATGCATACTGCCTTTCAATTGCAGATGGACATTCACAGCCATATTTGCCTACAACTACACAGTAAAAACACTTTACAGCAATTAACTGTGAAGGGCTCAGAGGCATTGACGCAATAGGCATTGTATCAAATGCAAGGATTATTACAGTAATAATGAGATTTCATTAATTACCTTTGCATAAGAAACCACCACAAAAAAAAGAGAAAAGCCTGGTTCAATAAAACTGTCCAATTTTAAAAAGAATTGCAGGAATTTCTATCTTATCCTGTAAAATTGCATCTATTAAAGGATACTGGTATAAAGCTAGTATAGGAAAAAAGGAGAGGATGTTTTAGGGCCTCCAGATTAATGCACACAATAAATAGCCAATGGTTATTTAATCACAGCCAATGGCTGCCATCCCCATAAAACGCAACTGAACTCAGCACCGAGACATATGAACAGATTTATACATTTCTAGTACATTCGTCTCAGTGTTAATTGCAATCTGTGGGTTACTTAATAATAATAATAATCCTTGCATTTGATATTGCGCCTTATCACATCTTCGAAATGTCTCAAAGCGTTTCACAGAATATACTGTAAATTGAATTGATGGTATATATTGTGGGCGAACCTTGGAGGCCAATTCCACACAGCAGTGTCCCACAAACAGTCGTGGATTGAGTGACCAAATAATTTTTATTTATTTTGAAAGAATTATTACCCCCGGGAAAAGCAATCCGCCAATCGACTAACAACCGGGTTCCTACTTACTGCTAGGTAAACAGAGGCATGTGGAATAAGGAAACTTGCTGAACATTTCACCCTGCCGGAAATCAAACCCAGGTCCTCTCACTTGCGAGGCGAGCGCTCTGAACACTGAGCTACAGGACTCCACTAAATCATAAAGTAGAAAATAATGCAGTGATTGAGATAGTTAGAAAGAATATGAAAAAGGAATTGTGAAGCCCACCCTTCTAAAAAAAAACCACTGCCAACAACAATTTAATTGCCTACCCCCCTTCCCCCCAAAAAACATACAACTCAACATCAGTTGCTATCTTATAAGCCACGTCATTATGATGGTGGTGACTGACTGCAGAGCCAAAAAAGACAAAATGCAGCTTATAGCTTTCATGGCAATACATTACTAGAAAAGAGAAAAAAGTTTCTCCTGGTGTCCTGGCTAACAATTCCCAAGGTAAAATTGGTCACTCACTTCATGGACAATTCTTGGACCACACAATGAGTAAATTGGCTGTCGCATTTGCCTACAAATACAGTCACTGCACTTTACAGCAAATCCTGTAAAGGGCTTTGATACATCACTTTGAGATGTCTTGAAGACGTGATAAGGCCCTATATCAAATGCAAGGATTATTATTATTGTCCTCCTGACATGAAAAGACCTGTGTCATATGCAAAGATTATTAGTTATATAGCACTTTTTCCTGGGAAAGAAACATCTTGAA